AAAAAAAAAAAAAAAAAAAAAAAAAAAAAAAAAGGAACCCTCTACTCACAATGAAGTGAGAGCCCAAATAATTTTCAGAAACTTCATATTTTCAGTGATTCTCAAACAGTGTTAAAAATGAAGCAAGATTGTGTCACCTAGCTTAACAACGTAGAGACTGCTGCAGTATGAAACTTGGGACTTGCCTATACTGACTTACAATTCCTCTGCATAAAGTGGAGTTTCAGGTATCGGGTGTGCGGTCCTGCTATACGAAAATTTCACGCATCTCTCAAATAACTCAGTTACGTAATAAAATTTTCTCCCTCAGGTCAATACCTTTAAAGTTCGTAAGCTCTTCAATGAGACATCTTTCTATTTTCTTCTTTCTTTGATACTGAGGAGGACGTTTCAGCTTATTTAGTAAAATAGATGCCAGTCCTCCTTATAAAAAAATTTCTTCAAAAACCAGTGTGAGACAGGAGAAAAACTCTGTTGTATCTAACTACAGCTGTTAAAATTTGGCCCTAATAAAATATACTAATAGCTCCTCTAAAAGTGTCACCTCGAGATTGGCAAAATCAAAAGGTTGATGAATAAGGTAAAAGAGAAAGAAAAGTAAGAAGGCTAGGAAATCGTGATATCAGTCACGAACCTGGAGATTTAAAGACTGCGAAATAATTGCGGGAGCAAAGCAATTTCCTAAGGCCAGTAAAGCAAAAAGTTGCTCGCAAAATTGCCAAAAACTCTCAATAACATAAATGCTTCTGAAGTTAACAGATGATGCGGAATGGACTACTTCAAGGACTTAATAAAACACAGCAAAAACTACCTCAACTGGAAACTGTTTGACTGAAACATGCTGCTTAGCTTCAACAATTCAGGAGTAAATAAGGAGTGAAAAAGAGGCGTATCGATCTTCATCTTTTTCGGAACAATCCTCATATAATTACGGAGCGAGAATGCGATGGATGACGACAGTACAAAAACGGCTGTACTACTAAGCATTGGGCTCTCAAGAAATACTCCTATATAGTCCATTCCATCACTACGTGAATACCTGGAAGAAGCGAACTGTTAACGTACAACAAAATCCCACCGTGAACAATCAGCACACACTATGGCTGAAACAAGCACTCAAAGAATGATGGAGTGATCTTCACGTTCAAAAAACTTCGTTTGACACACCATCTTCTCCGAGGAGCACGAAAGGCAGTTGCTAGCCTTGGCTAAAAGACGTCATAGGCCAAGGTAAATGACTGTTCGCTGGCTTCCTATCAAAAATCATGAGCAAATGAAGGCAACAGACAATCTGCGACTTCGTAAAGCGTGAAAATTTAGTTAACACAAGTTTCTTCAAAAA